CGAATGGGATTCCCTCTTTAGTTGATTTCTACTTCCTGCATATAGAAAAATTGCATGGAGAAGCAGAAGAAGCCAAAGTGACCCCCCACCCCCAGCGCACTACATGATAAATGTTTTCTTTTTGTTTCTTCCTATGACGAGGGAGCATATAAACACGGGACACCCGCACACCCAAAGCGCAAGTGGTACAGTCTTAGGAAACTGACCGCTTGCTTCTTAAATCGGGCTCCGGTAGGGAGGGAGTGGACGATGCTATTCTACCGCGTGAGGGGTGAAAGCATCCCTTTGAAAGCCTGCGCTTCCTCCATCTGCAGAGGAAAGAGAGGCGAGACCGGCATAGGGGGTCCTCTTCCGCGAGGAGCTTCCACGCCTGCGCATGAGCGTCTCGCGAGGGGCGGGCCTCACCTCCTGAAGGGATTCGGGAACGGCGGCAGGGACGATGGGCCTCTTGGCACCGCGCTGCTCCCTCTCCTTGTCGCGCTCCTTGTCCTTCCCATTCTCCGCCGCCGCCGCTTCCCCCTTCTCGGCTTGAGTCATTCGCGTTTCCTTTCTTCCCGGCTGTGGCTCGGGGTGCCCGGGCTCACGCGGCCTCGGAGCCCACTCAGAGAGACTGCAAAGGGTTGGCGCTGGCGGCTCCTCCCCGAGGAGGCTGGACGAGGCCAGGCCGCCCGCCCCCTTCGCTAAGCACGGACGAGTCTGTGTGGCGTTCCGTCCTCGGTCACTAGAACGGAGTTTGCAGCAAAGGTCGCGCCGCCTCAGTTACCCCCCCCACCCCCCAAGCCTTTCAAGCTGCTTTTCATTCCAGGAATAACAGTCCGAGCTTTGGTGCACGCGTCTGCAGCTGCAACCGACTTCTCCAGGGACCTGGCACACCCTATTCTTTACTCCATTAGCTCCTGTTTTCTCATTATCACAATAGTTTGTGCACTGCATGGCAAGAAAATCCATGTAATTGCCTTTTACCGAAAAGTAAGTAAAGGTAAAGGTTCCCTTGCTCGAATGCCAGTCGAATCCGACTCTAGGGTTGCGGTGCTCATCTCCGTTTCAAAGCTATAGAGCCAGCGCTGTCCGAAGACGTTTCCGTGGTCATGTGACCGGCATGACTAAACACCAAGGCGCAGGGAACGCTGTTACCTTCCCACCGAAGTGGTCCCTATTTATCTACTTGCAATTTCTTGCTTTCGAACTGCTAGGTTGGCAGGATCTGGAACTAAAGATAGGAGCTCACTCCATCATGAACCTGGTCTGGAACTGCTGACCTTCCACAGCCTGCAGTTCAGCGTCTTAATCACGTGAGCCACCACAGCTCCTTACTGAAAAGTAAGGTAAAGGTTCCCTCGCTAGAAAGCCTGTCGAATCTGACTAGGGTTGCGGTGCTCATCTGAGCCAGCGCTGTCCGAAGACGTTTCCGTGGTCATGTGGCTAGCATGACTAAACACCAAGGCGGACGGAACGCTGTTACCTTCCCACCAAAGTGGTACCTATTTATCTACTTGCAATTTCTTGCTTTCGAAAGTACAATGTCATTATTAGGGTGTTTTAAAAACAAAGAGATACTATTTGGCTGCTCTGGAACAATGCAGGCACTTCTTTTTGGGAAGGGTACTTTTGTTGCTTACACAGGAATTTACACATCAAATCCCGTTTTTGTATTTCAGCGTTGAAGTTTACTGAGGAAGAACATGCATTTGAAGAAGCACACATAACACTACAATAAATGTTATTCTTTATGGAGCCTCAAGGCTTGCTTGATTTGTATTGCATGTGTTACAACTTCTGTGTTGGTCTACAAATCTTAATAAAAAGGTATAGTTACATGATTTTATACACAGAGTTATAAGGAAAGGAATTCTTGTAGTTCTGTTTTAGAAATGGCACACAAACATGGTGAAAAATACTGTCCATTTCTAACATTGCCTTTCCAAAGTTATTTTTTCTCCTTAGTCTGCTGAGAATTGGACTTTTTATTAGTCACATCATACTATAAATTATTTTATTTATACCCCACCATTCTCCTCAATGGGAACCCAAAGTGGCTCACATCATTCTCCTCCATTTTATCCTTACACCAACCCTGTGCAATAAGTTAGGCTGAGAGTGTGTGACTGACCCAAGGTCACCCAGCAAGCTTTCCATGGCATGAGTGGGGATTTGAACCTGCGTCTCCCAGATCCTACTCTGACATTCTGGCTTTAAAATTACAAATACACTTAAGCTATTTACAGTGCAATCCTAGACAGAGTTTTTGTTGTTGTTGTTCAGTCGCACAGTCGAGTCCGACTCTTCGCGACCCCATGGACCAGCTCCCGCCAGACCCTCCTGTCTTCCGCCATCCTTTGAAGTTTGCTCAGTTCCATGTTCGTTGCATCTATGACACTGTCTAACCACCTAAACTTACTAACCTTAACAGAAGTGTATAACTCCATTTAGGACTGAACTACTAGTGCCATCCTCTCTTCCACTACTAGGTGGGGGATTAGTAGAGAAACAGGCTGCTTTAAAGACAAGAACACACACTTTTATGCCAGTTACAGCTTTGTCACGGCTCAGGTGGGGTGTCACCTGACTCCGCCACCACTCTGGTTCCAGGCTCCTTTGAGAAGGCCAAGCACCCTCCCAGGCCTTTCAGACCTCCCTTTTAGCCAAATAATAGGTGTGAGGACCAGGCAGAATGAACACTGAAAATAATTTATTTTATAGGAGGTCAAACAAACAAGGTGCAGAATTATAACAGTAAGTGGGTGAAAAGAAATCAAATGCCCTAACGCGTCTAAATATATACTGTCCCTAGCTCACTATCTCAAGTGGTCTTAGACTACTCACCCTTCCCTCAGGATGAGGGTCTCTTCCCCACAGCAGCCTCCGTCCCTTCTGGCTCTGTTCCCTGGGAAGAAGAACAGCTTTCCCTGTTGTACCAGTTATTTTATTCCCCAGCCCTCTTCTTCCCTATTGGTCAAAATCGGCGCCAAAACTTCCCAAGGCCGCCTGGGGTTTGTAGGCCCAGCCTCCCCTACTGCTAGCCAGGCTCCCTAGGCCTGCTAGGCCGTGCTTGCACAGCCCAGATCATGACAAGCTTCAAAAATATTTTTTTTTAAAAAAATCTCTGTGCTAAGGCTGGCTCTAGCTGTGATATAGACAGATGCATTTCCAACCCCATTTGCCAAGACAATACAAATACAGAGTTGGTTACTTTCAAGGGTGGATAGATGAGACCTGTATAGCCCAGGCTAACCAGATTGCAAAGGCTAAGCAGCGTCAGTCCATGGCAAACCACCTCTGAACGTCTTTTGCCTTGAAAACCCTATGGGGTCACTGTACGTCAGCTGTGCCTTGATGGCACTTGCCACCACAGATGAGATTTTTAAACATACCACATTTATCAAAGCTGACACATACGTCAGCTGTGCCTTGATGGCACTTGCCACCACAGATGAGATTTTTAAACATACCACATTTATCAAAGCTGTTTTCCTCCATGTTGGAGCCAACTAGGGAAACACAGGTGGTCTCCACATGGGGTGGGGTTTGTGTGGTTTGCTGGAGCGGCTGCAGATAAAGTACAACAGCAACAGGACTCCCACATGGCAAGTTTCCCTGCCCTAATCCCCCAGAAGTGGTCATCCCTCTCCCCTGAACCACCAGGGCTTTTCCAGTTTTGTCTTTTTTTAAAAATCGGCACTAGAATATCACTATACTGATACACCATTGTCACAATAGGTGTGACAGGTTCCGAGAATTCCCAGCTTTCATTAAAAAGTCTCTAGACTCTTCCATTGCAAAGACATGCCTTTCTCTCTAGAGGCCTAACTGTTTATTTTAATGAAAGCTGAGAATTCAGATAACCTAGACCTATTGTTACAATGGTAGGCTGCTATAATAGTATAGTGCTGATTTTTCAAAAGTAAGGAAGCCTTCTCAGAGAGGGAAGGATATAGTTGCCATGGGGACAGAGTTAGGGAAAATGGCTGCCGTCTGCATGGTGAAGTCCAAATGTTGCCACCCACACAACAGCTTAACTGTGATCTTTCTCAAAACCTCAGAGCAAAGCTGATTTAATGAGAAAGATCAATGAAAAGTCAAGAAAAAACACTACTTCACACTGGATAGATAACCCATGCAGAAAAGACCACAGTATAAATGACCCAGGGCCACCTGTAGGGGACAAATGGAAGCGAAATTGTCCTCTCAGAATCCACATTAATGTTTTGAGGAAAACACAAAAACAACCTTCAAAAGAGTCAGAAGAGAAAGGCTCAAAAGTGAGCTAGTTCTAAGCTACAAAGAATAGCCATACTCACATGAAACCAAATGCTACAGAGCAGCAAGAGTAGCAATAAATGCACTGAGAAAACAATAACATTTTGTTGTGTATCAAATAGTGACATTAACAGTTCATAAAATGCAGTATTTCTGCAGTTTTATGGCAAGATGATTGAGGAGTAAGAATGAGATAAGAATGATTATAGCACACGTACATTTAAAATTCAATTTCGAACAACTCAGGCTTGTGTGGCAACAGGAATGGGTTCAGATCAATAATGCCTTTAGGACCTGTAGAACCCTCTGAAAGCTGCTTAGTGGCTATCAACATCTAACGAGGCTATCCATTGCTTTTTCAGAGGCTCTCCAAGAGGCTATCCATTGGGTTTTTTCATGGGCATAATAAGTGATCTTTCAAATAGTCCCCCCTCCCTTCTAAATAAAAAAAGATTCAGAGTCTGTATTTTGTAAAGCTATATATTTATAACTTTACAGCTAAAACAAAAGGTTCACAAACTATACAAAAAGGCTTAAGACACGGTAAAATAGGTGCAATTAATTTAATAGAACTGCATTTCGGTTATACTGGATCCTGGAAAACGGAGTTCCCAGCATAACTTCATTGTTCTGCTAGTTTGCAGAGCAGTGTTTCATTTAGACGTACATATTCACAACCTGCAGACTCATTTGGTCCAGCCCTCAAGAGGTCTTCTCAATCTTGCAGATATGTATGTCCAGTTGCCTGCCTCTTAGAGCAGGCGTTTACCTATGGATAAATTGACATTTTAGCCATGATAAAGCAAAAAACATCACTTAAAAGAACAGTTTCAGGACCATAAGATGTATTCTATTAGTTCATAATGCAAAAGCAAGGATGCTGGCTGGCATCTACCGAAAAACATATCTCACCAAATGTGCAACACTGATATCCAATCTCTAAAACCCTAAAAAGGACACAGATCAGGGTACGCTGAGGACCACCTCTGCCTCCATGCACCCGCCCAAATCTCGTCAGAGGCCTTGCTGGGAATTTACACCCATTTGCAAAAGTTAGATTGGTGGCCATGAGGGTCAGGTCCTTCTTTGGGGTGCCCCTTCGTCTGTGGAACACCCTCCTCACCACTTCATGCCCGACAGTACTGGTGTTCAGTTTTAGACATCAAGTAAGCATAGTATTCTTTTCTTGGTTTTTTATTTATTAGCTTTGTTGCATGTAGGGGCAAACGCTGCTTATTTTATTTTATTTATTTATTTAATTTGTACCCCGCCCTCCCCGGAAGCAGGCTCAGGGCAGGTTCTGTGTTGTGGTTTTATTGCATGATTTGCTCCAGCTGCTGCTCAATCAGATCTTGTTCACTGTGCTGTTTTTACCTTCTACTGTTTTGAAGCTTACTGCTCTTTTATTCTTGTAATATTTCTTGCCTGTTTTTTGTCTGTCAGTCACAATTTGTTTTATTTTTATACACTGCCGTAAGTATTTCAAACAAGAAGGTAGATTTAAATCAATGATGTAAAGAAAAATGTTACTTAGATGCCTCTGAAACAAAATACTGTTCTACTTTGTTGCTAGAACTATAACATTTACCGGATTTAAAACTGAATAAAGCCTTTATACAAACTCAGAGGGTACACCAAGTTTTTCTAATATTTCAACTTATCATCTAAAATAAGGTAAAATAAGGTTCTCATAGGGAACACTGACCTGCCCAGTATCAACTATGGGATAATTAGTCAGATAATTAGTATGGATAAAGTGAGGGCAAAAAGGATCATCCAGATGGATTAGTGGGTGACACTGGTGGTGACTTGTCAGTCCCTGGCCTCCATATCAAGCCATAATATAAGCACAAGAACTGTTGTGCTGTCTCA